TCTATCGCTTTTGTTCCAGAGCAGATGGGAACAACATAAGATGGTATCAGACTAAAGAGAGGGGTTAATACATGGGTGGCCCTGCTGACTCAATGGTCGTTACCTAATATAGAATTATACCACCACCTTCCTATTACAAAGAGCTTAGGATAAGAGTATGTCTAAATGGATATCTCTGTTTTCTATATGCTATATGCAAAGCTTGACATGATATACAAAGGAAGCAACGTATGGTGAAACATTTATTTTCATCACTCTTTAAAGTTAATAATTCACTAGCTTGAAACCTAAGTCTGCCCCACTGTATATTTTTAATATATTTCAATATAAACTTACATTATTTCAAAATATACTGTATTATTATATGTATATCATCTGATTTAGCTTAAGAAGGGTTTGATAATTTGTTGATTTTAATCAGGTGTATCAGAGCAGGAAAGGCATGTTGATACTTAGAAAGCAGACATGGAGCTTGTTTACAAGGTTACATAAATAAGACAACATAGGCTTCACAAAGTGAGTAACAAAAGGGCTCATCAAAACAAAACTGCCATAACGAAAACAAAAACTGTTCTTTACCATGTTTCAAATCATTTATATAAGCAGCAAGGTCAGGTGAGGAGATGCTGAGAAGGCCAGGCGAGAGGGTAAATGAAGACAGGGGCCTAAGCTCTTGGGTGTTGTTTCCATAGCAACCTACGGACTCCTTACCACCCCATCCCACCACCTTTCATTAGTAAATCTTCTCCTCGTAGAGATGGGCATGAAAGGGCAGCACAGAAATGGGCACTGGAGAGTGGAGATTCAGCAGCATGCTAAATTAGTGCTGAGAGATACTGATAAAATTCAACATCACAATATTGCAAACTACCTGGAAGCAGGGACACTGCTATTTTATGGACAGTACATAATGGACATAATAATGCTGGATATATAGACCCTCTATGGCCAAAAGTATGTGGACACAGCACCATCACACCTAGATAAGCTTTCTAGTAATTCCATTCCAAAACCATTCCATTCCATTGGCATTAATATAGATTTCTTAATATGGATTAATAAGGAATTGCCTGCCCTTTGCAGCTATCACAGGCCCCGACTCTTCTGGGAAGGCTTTCCAAAAGATTTTGGCGTGTGTCTGTGGGAATTTAGTGAAAAAGATGCCCATTCAGCGAGCATGTAAGGTCAGGCACGGATGTTGGATGAAAAGGCCTGGCTTGAAATCGATGTTCCAAATCATCCCAAATGTGTTCAATGGGGTTGAGGTCAGCGCTCTACACGCTTTACATCATTTCAATCAACACTTGGCATTGTGCATAGAGATCTTAGGCTTGTGTGCAGTTGCTCAGACATGGAAAGTCATTTCATAAAGCTTCCAGCACTGATGCTGCTTCCAGAGGCAGTCTGGATCTCTGTAGTGAGTGACACAACAGAGGACAGGCGATTTATCTGTGCTTCAGCACTCAGCGGCCTCCTCTCAGTGAGTTTGCACGGTTTACCACTTCACGGCTGAGCTGTTGTTGCTCCTATATGCTTTCATTTCACAATAACAGCACTTAAAATTGACCAAGGCAGAAATTTCATGAAAAAGGCACTATTCTATAACAGTGCCACATTTAACTGAGCTCCTCAACCCATTCTACAGCCAGTGTTTGTCTAGGGAGATTGCATCACTATGAGCTTTTATATACCTGTTAAGTATGTGTGAGGCTGGATGATTACAAGGGGTGTCCATATACTTTTGGTCATCTAGTGTAATCACAGTACAATAACATAGACCAGCACTATCCTAAATCGGTGGCCTTTGCATTCAATGGCAGGAAAACACAGACCAGAGTCACTGCGATTGGGTCTGAGCTAGGAGACAGGCTAAAGAAAGGACAGGCCAAACTAGTCCAGGCCTTCAGCAGATTTGTGCCAGAGCAGCACTGTGTTCTGCCCACAACTGCAGGCTTTGTGCTTCTCTCTGACTCGCCTTTTCTTTCTGGTTTTCTCTCTGCTCTCTCTGCCGCCCTGCAGCAGGGTTAGGACTGAATAGCTAAAGACGGCCTTAAACGCTGGAAACAATTAACCCTTGCAGATAGAGAAAGAAACATGTTTGTGTTCTAAGAAAAGGACAGAGACGCACAGCCTGGTTGCCGTTCTAGAAATCTCTACTCCTCTGAATGAGGTGGAAGGTTGGACTGCGAGGCTGAACTGCTGCTCAATTCTGCGCCACCAGAACAGAGCATACCTTTCAGCATACAAGCTGAGTTTAGCTTATGCCAACCTTTTCCTCATCATGCTAAAAAAGTCAGGATCACATTCGTGTGCCTTTTATTTGCCGAAAGATTTGGATTCCTAAGAAATTCAATTGAGAGGTATTTACCAGTATTTACTCTTTACAACAAAAAAATTGGGGCATTTTAGAGACCTAGACAATACCAAGAGCAATAAGGCCATGGCTTACACTGATTTTATCTGGGTTAAGAAGTGTTAGTTTTGACCCAAAGCGAGGACTGATGACAATACGATAATACACACCACTGTAACATATGGTTCTGAAGGGTCACAAATGTGGTAAAAATGAATAAAATGTGCTAAATTAATAAAATGACTTCTTAGCAAAGTAGCCCAGTTTCACCTAAGCATTATGCCCTTCTGGAGTACAATAAATACATCATCAAATATCTGTTTAAAATACCAGGTAAATCTAAACATCTGTCTGATGTCAATATATTTTAAGCAATTATCTCCCGACATCAATATTACTCTGATATCATTAAAACGTAAAAATGGGAGAAACATGCTGAACACAATCGATCATTAACCTGACCAAACTATAGTGGATCACTTTAACTTCCTTCTTGAGCCCTGCCATGTGGCCTCGAGACATGTGATCAGAATACAGCTGAGCGAAGATGGAGGCCACTACTATTCTCCTTCTCTCTCGCTCTCTCTCTCTCTGATACCAGAAAATTCAAATGATAACAAGTGAGACTTCAACATGCCAAAACTGATTAGACTTACTCGCTCTACTAAAGACAAAGCTTCAGAAAACTCAAGTCTATTATAGCCTGTTCACCATAAAGGGGTCAGGACGATCAACCAAAACATAAGTCAACCAGTCAAACCTACAAAACAACCATCAAGGCACACATACAGTCATCAATCAGTCTACTTTTCTAAATTCTGTTTGGAAACTGGACAAAATGTTGATTTGCTTCCCATACTGTTGAACGTTGCCTGTTGACAGACTATAACCTCAGCCCTGCCTTAATGTCAACAGAATAAAACATGTACACAAATGTTTATGCCAAACTATTTTGGGTTAAAATAGTGGCAAAACACTGAGAGTTCGACATTCCCTTTGGGCTGAATTTGCATTGTGAAACTATCAGGACGCTGGAAAAAGGTACTGAAAGTAAGCGCTGTTGTGGAAGACCGCAGTGTTACGGTATCTGAACAGACCAGTCTCTCTTATTAAAGTTTACTTTTAGCAAGCGTGATCTCACGTGCACTATCATCAACACTGAACCCACCAGTGAGGAAACCTTTCTTCCATTTATAGTGCAGGCATGAGCCGACACTTTGCATCAAGGTACCTGTCGGTGGGGTTTTATGAAATTAGCAAAGAGACCAAAATCAGTCACAAAAAAAAGCAAACAGCAAGATTTGGCTGAAAGATTGCTGAGGCCAAACTATTACATCACCTCAAAGTTTAAAATCGGTTGTAACAGGCCATGTTTTGTAATGCCTTTCTGGCAGGAAACGAGTATAACTGCTGTCTCAAAGCTTACTCCAAATATTGCGGGCTGCGTCAGCACCCCTCACAGGTTAATAACACCCATGACAAGTGTTAATACTCCAACTGACCACTCTATACTACACCAGCCTGGTACAGAGCAGAGGGGAAAGAGAAGTAACTTGAGTTACTATAGCTGCATTCAAACGTAGTAGAATATTCCAGACTATAAGGAAAATCTGCACTGTAGCATTTGATGTGGCTAATTATTGCCTGTCAATGTCAGAGAAAAACTCTGATCCAAATGAAGCATTTTTTTAATGATTTGTTTGTTTTTATTGTATTATTGATAAAAAAAACTAAGATATAAAATGTTAGATGGGTAGTAGCCACACGCAGGTTTACTTGCTCAGCAAAGAAAGGCAGATGCTGGTGTAAAACTGCTGATTTGAGAGACGGTTGAGCACATAAACATTATTTTAATGTCGGTCCGACAAAATACACATATGTGACGATGATAAGAGGCTGGTGAACATTTATCAAGCAAATTATCACAACTCCCTAACGCGAGGTAGGAAGAACTACATCGAGTTATCTAGCATTAAGCTAGCTAAACTACCTAGAATCGCCTCCATCTAACATTACCTATTCTAAACAGCCCGTAGACCGAGTCCCAGACCACGCGAACCACAAATACATGTTACATGCTATCCTACGTTTTGACCACCTAATCCAATCCAACCTACGGGAAACGAGGATGTTAGCCACTTTAGTGAGCTAGCATTCTCAGATTTCAATGGCACTGTGGTGGTAGTTGTGGTGGTGGTCCCAGTAGCCAGCCCAGGATTGGCCAGATTTCTGTACATTGTGTACCATAATAACCAACGTAAACGCTGAAGCTATAGGTTAGCTAGGCTGTAACTTGGACTGTCCAGCAGTCAGTAGCCAGATTCAGCTGTGTGGTTTTTAAATGGTTCCTTTTATATCAAGTAAATTAGCTGGGAATGCTTAAGCTGGACACAGACTTATTTACAAAGGACGTTTCAAATGAAACGTTTGATCAAGCTGAGCATCTCGTTTCCAATATCCCAATATCTGACACGCTAGCTTAGCTAAGCTACGCATCATCTCACGCTGAAGACCGAAGGCCACCGAGGAAGGCTGATAATCTAAATTATCCAATGGAGCCAGGGAGGCTTATGAGGGTTAGTATTGAAGTGTGGTCTCTATCATGACCCAGTGTTGAAATAATACGGATAATTTAACGTGAACTCACCAGCACAGGAAAGCTACAGTGAGGCACACCAACAAAACGCGCAGCCTCTTCATTATCTTCCCGCGGGGACCAACATCCTCGCTTCTTTACGGACCGTCCTTTCCGTTTTATGTTCAATGGAGAAGAAGACAGGCGATTTTATAGGTAATTTTATTCAAACTCTAAATACAGAGGGGGCGTGTTTCGCGCTTCCGAGCGAGCAGGTATTTAGCTGTCCTCTGTGTAATCACTCAGCCCGCGGCTTCGCCTGCTTCTGCCTCTACTGCTGTTGCTCGGGCAGTAGCTCTCAGCCCTTACAGCGGTTAGCCCTCTCAGCCAATCGGAGCCCTGCAACTCTCAACAGAAGTCCACTAATGAGAATCTCCAAACCACTTCAGCGGTGGACAACCTCCACCAATAGGAGTGTTTTCTGGTTTATCGCCCCGCCCACGCCACCCTTCAAAGATGAGTTGGAAGGCCTGTGGCCGGACGCGTCACCCCAAAGATAAGCACATTTTTACCAGCTTAGACATTTGGCTGCAGCGTTTGAACACGTAATAACCACTCATTGATAAGTAGGACCGGGATTACTTAAGCGAGGGATAACGTGTAATTAGCGTATGCCACTCTTCTGTAGTTAAATGATTAATCTGAATATCATATTCATTCTAGAAATTTGCAATTTTACCAGACACCAAATACTTTTAGTTTATGTACATGATGTCTCATAATGTCTCGACACATTCCTTCTGCTTCTTTAGGGTTACGTTTTACACAAGGGATAAACTGAACATTTCAAAAACGTATATCCATTAAAGCATAACGTTAACACGGGAATGTTATTTGTATGAACTATGAATCTTGTCGAGTCTATGGATGAACTGGGGTTACTATATGTGCAGAGCTTTGACCGGTAAAGTCGATTTGTTTCGACTTTTTCGAGAAGATGCAAAGAAATGCCAGGCAAAACACTACATTTCCCAAAATGCAACGTTCTGGGGTGGCTGAGATCGTTGCCTGCTCAGATCGGTTGCCTTTATAAATATTTATTGCATTTAAGTTACAAAAAATCTTTAGTTGTGAGTCCTGTCTAATTTTAAATGTAAATGGTGTATGTGGCCTGATTAGCCAGCATACAGCTGTGTCTCAAACGGCGGGGTCCTAAACTTAGTGTGCTCAGCTCGCTGGGGGAGCCGTGCTGTGCCGAGAAGTTTGTCGAGGGCGAATATTGGTCCGAGAAAGTTCTCTTCGACTTGAAGGGGGCATTTTCGGGGGCGATTTGTAGCTGGTGTTCCCACTCTGACCGTTCGTTTGTTAGGGCGTCATGTGGTTGTCGGAGGAGGTGCTGAGGGTGTTGGCGGTGTTGTTATCGTTGTGTATTTCGGAGCGATATGAGGTCGCCGGCGCTTTCACACAGTCTCTGGACAGCGACTTCACTTTCACCCTCCCCGCTGGCCGAAAGGAGTGTTTCTACCAAACCATGAAAAAAGACGCCTCATTGGAAATTGAATATCAGGTATTTCTGCTTAAGTATGGTCTGCAGAGTCGGTCTGACACAGTTTATCACAGACTTCAGCGCTGGTTTATGACCATGTGAGGCAGCGCCGTGCCATGTAATACCTAGTCAGTTAATGTGGTGGTCAACTTTGGTGCGTAGGACCGATTATTATTGCCCTTTCTTCGACGAATAATATAAACAGCAGCTTAACTAAGTTAGTCAGAGTAGCTATGTGGTGTTCTAGAAGTATACTAGGAGCGAGGTTGCTGTGTGGCCTCTATATGACCCACATCCACACTGTAAATCAACGTCTCCAATACAAATGGAGAGACTTTCTAGCCACAAACCTTCTGTAAGTTATGAACACTATAGGCACAAATGCTGTTCATCATCTGCTGACACATACTGGCCACTTTATGAGGTCCATCTACCTTATACATCTACATCACAGGTTAGACTAGTTTTTCATCATGCACGGTTTGTCAGAAACACTCTACCCTTTTCATCATGTCTTAACATCTCACCACTGTACCACTGTTGACCAAATGTCCAGCCAAAAAAAGGTTCTGTGATCAGAAACTGACCAATGAAGGGCTTAAAGATGTCTAACACAAAAATTGGATGGCAACAGAGCGTCTGCAGTCTCTACCTCTATACCAGCAAGATTAACCTGGGTGTTTTAATGTGATTTAATGATTCATTTACACCTTTCAAAATGCGCTGTAAAATCATACCATGTCAATTAGCAATTTATTTGGCAAATGTAAGAGAAGTGAAGAGCCGACTTATGGCACAACCCCAACCCAGTGTTGTAACTGATGTCTGGGACCAGTGTTGCATGTAAAAGCAGGCAAAAGGTCATTATTGCACATTGTTTTATTGCAGTATTTTCCCCACTGGGACTCGAGCCCAATCTGAGAGACATCAGAGATATAGGATCCTATAATATAATATATATATATTATATATATATATATATATATATATGTATATGTAGTATATATATATATATATATGTGTGTATATATGTAGAAAAATTGTCTGAAGGTGCGCATGTGCTTGTTTCTGAGTTGATGTGCACTCATGGACCTGCAGGTTCTGGATGGGGCCGGCCTGGATGTGGATTTCTACCTGTCCTCTCCCAGCGGTCATGTGGTAGCCTCGGACTTCAGGAAGTCTGATGGTGTTCACACGTAGGTTTAACGCAACTTACATTCTTCACGTAATTTTTTTCCTTTCAGAAGGAGCGCATACATTTTACTGTAGCTATATGAAAGGCTGTCTAACTGCTGTATTTCAGAGTGGAGACCGAGGAGGGAGACTACATGTTCTGCTTCGACAACACATTCAGCACCGTATCTGAGAAGATCATCTTCTTCGAGCTGATTCTGGACAACATGGATGACGGAGAAGATCCTGAGGACTGGAAACAATACGTACAAGGACCTGACCTACTGGACATGAAATTGGAGGACATCATGGTGAGGGATCACACTTGTGTTCAGCTGTGAGACTAAGTGTTACACGGGCGAATAGACCAAGTCAGCTTATGGAGTTTCCCTGTCGCAGTGATAACTAATAAACTGACCTGCTTGTTGTGGCAGTAGTATGTTTAGATATGTCATCAACCTTTTCAGTTGTGTTTATGTGAATGTGTCACAGTGCCGTTACATTTTCTATGAATGCTGAATGGCACAGTGAAAGAAGCAACCCCCCCTTACTGCATTGTCTCCCTCATTTTCTCCCTGGAGGCAGATCTGCAAGTGACAGGTGCTCACACAGGTGGTGCAACTCAAGTTGACATCATGTCATGCCTGTCAGCACTGGTCATTCCTGCTATAAAGGGAGGTGCAGAAGAAGTGAGCTAAAGTGTAATGAGAAAGCCTGAAGGCTTTCATCTGACAGAGTCATCTGACTGAAACTTGTGTTTGACAAGGAAATATTTGCTTTCATGTTTCCATTGAATTTCTGCAGAATGTATGCACTTACAACTTATCATCATTTACATTCAAACACATTCAGTGACACATTTCACCTTGATTTATATTAGGTTTTTAACGGCTAGCAGTTCCAGAATCAGCTCTTAAAAATATAACCATTGCTACATCTGTTGTAAACAGATGGCCTCTTACGGTGCTGCCACAATAGTCCTGAGAGTGAGATTTTTTGGTTTAAAGACTAGCAAAACCCCTTTGAGATGATCTCAAAGGTAGGGAGGACTCACAGAACAATTGCAAGCGCTTTGTGGTCGATACATGATGGTGGGCTGTGTGATTTTATTTATTAATTTTTTCCCCCACTAGCCAATTAGCTAATGTTAAAGCTAGGAAGCCAAATATCACCTCCTGTATTTATTAGCCTCTACATCAGTGCATGTCTTAATCACTATGAGTGGGATTCACAGTGGTTATAGGACATCTGTTTGTTCAGTGCATATTGGATATTGTAGTGATGGACAAAAACGCAACAAGAAACAAAATCAAGAATTATGGGGATGGAGGGATGCAGTGCTGTGCTATATAACACTGATTAACACAACGAATTGCATTAAATGCTAGTTTTAGACCAGAATCTATGAGCTGGGGAGGATTATGTTATGTCGTGTAGTCATATCAGCTGCTTGTTTTTTCAAACCTGTAAATAGATTCTAGGCATTGAAATAGTTTTGGGAAGTTCCAAATTTAAGCTGTGCAGGAAGTCTTTGCACAATGGAACGAAGTAGGACAGAGTACGACCACTTTGTTTAGTGGACCCTCCAGGGAGAGCTGTGTTTTTGTTTGTATTTAGGTATATAAGTACTTAATGTTCAAGACTTGCATGGCTGGTTGTGGTAAGAATTACATAAATAGAACACTTTCTTAGGTACATGTATCTACATTCATTGTGTGTTTACCGCTTACCATATAGGGGTACTTTGTACATATATCTGTTTGTACAGATTATAGCCCATAGATGCTCCTACCTTGTTTATCCAGCTTATAGATGTTAACTTAGATAGTTAGTTCATCTGTTGCTGCAGAGTTTGTGTTGGTCATCCTCCAGTATTTCATCAGTGGACAGTTTCTCGCCACAGGATGCTGTTGCCTGGACAGTTTTGGTTAGTGTTGGTGGGCCATTCTCAGCCCAGCAGTGACATGGAGATGTTTAAGAACTCCTGCTAACAAATGTGTTGGCATGGAACGGACAATTAGATTTGACCAACTGACCAAATTTCAAACTGATATTTGATGACTTATGATGGATGCTGCAAGAGCAGAATGTTTAGGTGACTTGGTGACAAAATATCTGCATTTTATTCATGTTGCTGTATTTGTAGCAGTCTATAAACTAATTTTATATTTCTCTATAAGTCCAATCTAGGATTTAGTCCCAATTTCTACATTTGATAAATGTTTATGTGCCGTCATTTGGCATCGACATAAGTGTACATGAAAATTCAGATATCAGCATTTGCCCATAGTATCCCTTCTACGAAGTACATCTATATGGTAAGTGGACCTGATAAAATGGACAGCGAGTATAGATATAGGGTAGATATACATAATGTAGTGTCCAGAAAGTGTATGCATATTAATGAAATTGAGAGAAAATTGAGACTGAATCCACCTGGATCTTAATTGTGTGACCTGTATTTGTAGGTCCTCTCATGTTTAAAGGCTCAGCATGTATTTACACCTGCTTTTGTCTCGGTTTTCTGAATGTGTTCCTTTCTGTCCAGGACACCATAAACAGTGTGAAGGCTCGCTTGGGGAAGAGTCTTCAGATTCAGACGGTGCTGAGGGCCTTTGAGGCGCGTGACCGCAACCTACAGGAAAGCAACTATGAACGGGTCAACATCTGGTCTTGCACCAACATGGTGGTGATGGTGGTGGTGTCCTGCATCCAGGTCTACCTGCTGCGCAGCCTCTTTGACGACAAGAGGAAAACACGCACGTAGCCCCCACACTACTCCCCTGCTAACTCTGGGAGAAAAAAAAGATCCCCTCATCCGGGACTGAAGATGGACACACATTTTCTCTCTTTTCTCTCTCAGTAGAGCCTTTGCATCCCTCCCCCCGCCTTACTTTTTCAACACTTGTCTACTTTTACCCCAATGAAGACAATCCATTTCTACGTTAGCTGAGCCGAGGACACTTTAGGACTTTTCCCTAGCCAATGAAATAAGAGATAGAGGTCTCAAAGCTGCTATGTGTGATGGAGATTTCACATGAAGCAGGATCACTGAGGGTCCTTTTTTAACACGAGCAAAGAATCAATAGACTGATACTGATATTTTTGCAGTTTCTTATAATGCAGTTTTTATAATTGTTTCTTTACCCCATTAAGTAAACTAACTGTAAAATATTTTGGGCACTGACACACAACGACACTGGCTTACAAATTCTTTTCTGAACAGCAAGATTAACATGGTGAATGTGAAGTAAAGTGTGGAGAAAATGTTGAATGTTGGGGAAAATAATGTCTGTTGGACAGTTTGGACATTTTCTTCGTTGTTTTTTTTTCCTGGTGGTGAAACATCCTGCTTTTGTCCTTCAAAAACACTAGCAAAGCTAAACTGTGTAAAATAAGCTCTCTCAACCTGGTGTGAGTCCCCTGTGCCAGCTCCTTTGCCATGCATTAAGCTATGTTGCCTGTGTACTGTCCTGCAACCTTTAACATATGTGCTGTTAGTGTGTATCACTTGTCAGAGGGATAGTTTATTGAGCCACATAGGGATACGTGCTGCTTTAAGTTTGAGCCCCTGCCTCCAGACAAAGGTTTACCACATGGCACAAGGTCTGACCTGATGCCAGATGACAACACTTCTTAGAAAACGCCCACTGTGCCAGCTGCTCTGAGTGGGGACGTGCTAGGAGGACTGCACAGAGGGCTGCTTTTGGCCCAGGCTCAGCGTGGAGTAAAGGGAAAAGGTGTTCGCCTCTTATAAATCACCACAGGCTGGAGCGCCAGTATGCTTGACCTACAAGCAGTTCCTCTAGCCTCGCTGACAGCAGCTCCAATTACAGTCGCCTGGCAGCCAGCAGAGCAGAGGGAGTGAGCCAGGTGTTCAGTGTTTTGAAGTGATTAATGAGAGCTTTCTTCACCCTTTGTATTTCAGTTTCGGCATGTGTGTGATAGTTAAGGGCAGCGTTGCTTCCTAAAGGACATGCAGACTATGGATAGGAACTGTGTGAGAACCTGGCATATCTCTCATGTGAGATACTGCTCTTTGGTTGGTCAGACCCCACCTAGAGGAGGCTTTGCAAATGTGAAGTAGCCTCATGTATTTAGCCAGTCTGCCTAGTGATAGGCTCTTTGGTTATAGACTGTTTCTCAGATCAAAATCTCTACCAAACATTAATAGAAAGACTGGAGGGGTGAGAAGTTTGGTTACCACACATTTTACCTTAACGTCCTAAGGGCTGGCTTCTCTCAGTGGTTGAGATTTGATACTCAAATATATTAAACAAGCAAATAGATGTCAAATCCTACTCAACAGATAAACTTGCATAAGATTTTACTGTGATTTCTCACATATTGCACGGTTCTTACATGGCCAGCTTCTTAAAAAAGCAGTCGTCTGATGGAAAGGTGTATTGCAGGGGTGTCCAATCTTGTCCCTAAGGGGCTACTGTGGCTGCAGCTCCTCATTCCAAACAAGCAGGAAGGAGCACAGCTGGTTCTACTTGTTTACTGTTGCATCAGTCTTCAACAACTAGTCTTGAGCTCCTGTTTTATTGGAACGAAAACCCGCATCCACACCAGACGTTTGCAGATAAGACTGGACGCCCCCGTTTTTTTTGGATCTGTCACATCTGCAGCCTTATATCGCCCCCTCCTGGAGGTCTGGAGGAAGAGCTTCCTAAACACTACAAAGCTTTGAAATGTTATAGTGGCTGATGTTCATTCACCAGCAGTGTTCTATATGACTATGCCTGAGAAAAGCACTGACAAAAAAGCATATGTGCCATTCATATGTGGAAGTTTCACATTCTGAACTTGTGCCAATAACACTTGATTACTGTGGAATCAGACCGTGTTCAGTTCTACTTGTTTGTATCCAATCATACATACTGAAACCTTTAAAGTTTTATTTATACAAACCTTTCTGTGTTCTTTATTTTCTGTGTTATTATCTTTTATTTCATGCTTTTCAAGCTATGACATTTTCTGTCAATGCCCCCCTTATCCCAAATGTAGTTGATCAGCCTAAACATGTTTGATGTTAGCTAAATTAGCTAGCATGTAATAGAAGCTTATAAGCCACCAATTAGCATGACTTTGTCCATTTGTATGGAAAACAGTGTCATACAGTGTCAGAAACCACATAAGTCTGGTTGGGGTTACTTAACAACTCACTGTGGTTTCAGGTATAAAGAAGTGGCTGTTTGGATTTGAAGTTTCCCCAAACCATCACTCTAAATAAATCACAGGTTTGAAATGGACATATTAGTGCTGACCTGTTTGAGCTGGGTCTGCAATCGCAACACCAACTCAGAGTAGAAATGCTAATCTAGGATCAGATTCCTTTCTTATTGACTAAAATTTACTGACAAGAACAGGTCCAAAATCAGCGCTCTACTACTTGCTGGGTTTGGATCCTCATCGGTTAAGATCAAGGTTGCACTACATACTGGCTGGGCTAAAAACCCCCACAACACACAGCAGCCTTGAACTAAAATTTAAAATAGCTTCAAATATTCACAGAATATATCAGTGGAATTAGCTGAGCAGCTCCTAATTGTGCCATGATTTGATCTTCCACTGTTGTCATTGCTGTCAAACTAAAACCTGGCATCTCCTAAAGCTAAAAGCATATATATATATATATGTCCTAAGGTTATCTCTGTCAACAGTGGAGATCCTAACTGGCTATTCTTGACACTCTGGATTAGGGGCTGGGGTTGGGCTGCTGGGTGCTAAGCCGATCAGGTGCTTGGCATATGGCAGTGGTTTGCATTTATTTGTGACACTGACTAGTTAATACATAGTTAAAGCACTAAAAATGACAAATTAAATTTTTTAAAATATTCTTCATTTAACTCCTTACATGGCCAGTTTTAAAAACCTCTGTTTGGAGGGCCATGTAGCCCTAACACTTCACCCTACCCCTCTCTCTCAACAAATATTGGGACACCCTAACCCTAGACGTCAACGCGCAAAACAGAAGGCTAAGGGCTAAGAGGTAGGGGCAAGGGGTGAAATGGGATTGGGCCTTAAGTTTAGTTTTACACACTTCTTTAATCTAAGCATAGTTCAACCTGTATGCATTGAAGTCCCTGTAGTTACTGAATAATAAGCCTTAGTATGTGATAAGGCTGGTATTTTAAGGGGTTTATCAGGTTGTACATGAAGTTCATAAAGAGAAATGCATGACAGAAATTACTAAACAAAACAGCACCTATTCTATAAAGGCACTTCATTGTTATCGTGGATATCATCAGTACTTAAACTACATGTTTCATTACAGAGTGAACATAATTAGGGTTAAATGCAGTGCAGTTCGTAAAACATTCAGTAAAAATCATTGTGGTTGTAGTTTTATAATCATTAATATATTATTTTCTAAATGCAACACTACAGATTCTACTTTATTCTTTCCAATCTGTTAAATCTCAGAAAAACTAAATATTGTGTTGCAGATCATGTATAACAACATGTTTAAGTATCATGACACTATTTTTGCCATATCGCCCTCTCCTAATGTCCCCTGCAGGCAGGTAGTGCAGCATGTTTACCAAAAGAAAAAATAATGTGATCTATTATTATTTCAACCTCAGATTTCTAGGCTTGAGCTCATTTTCTGTGAAGAACATATGAAATAACACATTTTCAGTGCCTTCACACTGAACACCCCCCACACATTTATATTACACATGTGGTGTTGGGGTGAACCCACAGGGAGTGAAAGTGTGGAGGTGCTGTGTCGCTTCACTCTGTTCTCCTCCTACATGGCCTGCTGTTAGTGTGTGTCTGTGTGTGTATATGTGTTTGTATATGTGTCTGTGTGTGTGTGTGTGTGTGTGTGAGGGTGGACAACATGGACAGGCTGCTGACTGGCTACAGCTGCTAAAGGAGAACCCTACACTGGACACTTGTGATATTTTAAACATCTAGTATTTTTACATAAATTGTTATGGCTGTATTGATTTAATAAAAACAATAATGTGTGGGTCCACCAGACGACTGAGTAACAAACACATCAACACCATTAAACATTAACTGCGTCTTACATCGACTGTATGTTACATATGTAAGCCTAGTAATCTAGCAGAGGGTCCCATATAGTGCACTGGAATGTACATGTCCTAATGATACCCACAATGCATCCCAAAATGTAAGGGATAAACGTGAGTGCAGTCTACCAGTCTAGTGTGTCCCACTACCAACACACAACAATTCAATCTAGGGTTGAACTGTAGAATTGAAGTACACATGATAAATTTAATATGAATACAAAGGTAATTTATCATGTGTACTTTTTAAGTATTAGTATCATCAAACTGTATTTTTCTAAATGTTAAGCCGACACGCCGTCAGCCTTTTGTTAGCCCGTTTGCCAAAAACTGACAAATTTGCCATCATTTTTCATCCACTATGTAGGGAACAAGGGCTCGATTTGGGACACTCTCAATGTCACTGTGCACTACTGTCCAGTCTGCCGGCAGGGGGCGCGACCCCATCCGCGATCCCATTGTTGGTTCTTATGTTTTCGTTTTTCGTCACATCCGGAAATCCCAATGGCGAGATGTAGTCTGTAACGAGGAAACAGCAGCTCCTCTGGTGAGAGTTTTCACTATTACTTACAGCCTATTCCACATATAAACCGCTTATATTCGTAAAACTACTCTCTACAATGTGTTTTAGTCCCTGGTTCGGTTTGTTGAAAGTACGCTGGGGGTCTGTTGGTTAACCGAGGCCAGGACACAAGTGCTTATACAGTTATACTCATAACGTTACCGGCCAGCGATCAAAACCTGCGTGACCGGTTATTTGCACTTTCATTTTCCTGTGTCCATTAAGGCGACATGTTAACATGTTATTTTTCGATCATTCACCCCACAGGCGACGTTATAGATCATAGACTAATGATAAGCCCCCATTTCTCACAGAGGAGTCTTGATTTTTATCACCCTCACTATCTGTTGTTGAATGTTTAAGTCCAGGCTTACCTCAGAGATGCACTACGGTTATATGTCTCTCTATCTTTGTATTTCTCAAGGTTGGCAAGTATGCTTTCCAGAGACTGTGTATGTAATGTTAAGGCTTCATGATCCAAATGTCATTTGGCAGGTGATGGGTGCAGATAGTGGTCCGGGAGCCCCCCCGGCTGTCCCATGGCGGAAGGTTCTATACGAGCGCCAGCCCTTCCCTGACAACTATGTGGACCGTCGCTTCTTGGAGGAGCTGCGCCGCAACATCCGCGTCCGCCAGTACCGCTATTGGGCAGTGGTGCGGGAAGCAGGCCTCGTCGCTCAGCAGCTGTCTTGTGTGGCTGTGTTTCTCACACTGTGGTTCTACATGGAACGAGGAGACCTGGGCCCGTCTACGCTGCTGTGGGCCAGCCTCGGATTCGCCCTGCTGGGCTACGGGCTATATGAAGCTTTGGGAGGAGGCAGCAGAGAGCGCACACGCTTGGCAGACCTGCAGAGTGCAGCAATCTTCTTGGCCTTTACCTTTGGCTTCTCACCTGTGCTGAAGACCCTGACGGAGTCAGTGAGCACGGACACTGTTTACGCCATGTCGGCCATGATGCTTCTGGCCCACTTAGTGTCCTTCCCCTACACGCAGCCTAGCCCCCCAGGCAGCCTGTCCCTGAACGCAGCACTGTTCGGCTCAGTGTGTTTGGCCTCGCGGCTGCCTGGAGCCTTGCACACTTTTGCCATGTTGAGCTGTGCCCTGTTGGTATTCGCTCTGTGGCCCTGCCTGCTCCATCGGCTCAGGGAACGCGCTGAGTGGAGCTTCCCCTGCGCCGCAGCCCTGGTGTGCGTGGCCGGGGTCGGAGGATTGGCGAGCTTTTGGCCTGTAGGAGCTCTTCTCCTGTTTTTAGCTCTGCTAGTGCTCACACTTGCCTGTCCACTGCTGCTGGTGCATCTACAGAGACACAAGGACAACATCCACGGTCCATGGGACGAGGCCGAGATCAGAGAGGACCTGTCCCGCTTTCTGAGCTGACACAAATACTTAAGTAACAGTATGGACTTCCTTTTTTTAAAGTCATAACTGTAACCATGATTTGTATATTGTCGGGTGTAGAAGAGAAGTTTGGCACTGACATTGAAGCTCAGGGAAAACATGGAATAATGACTTATTTTACAAGTATGTGTTAAGTGATTAAAGATGTAACTAAAGTGCAAGTGATTGTAAACAGTACAGTATTTTGAAATATGTAACGATGACTAAAATATTTGCTAAAATTGTTTTTTTAACGAGACTGTATTTATTGTATGTGTAATAAAGGTTATAACCTAAAGCCCAATGTACCCCATCATCCAGACCATATATGGAAGCCAAGCTGCAAAAACAGCCCGTTTTGAAGCCATCATGGTTGTGAAGTCACAGTGAAGAATAAATTTACTAATGACTGCCTACAACAGTTTGGCTGCTAATTCACTGATTGTTACTACAGACAGTCTGCAGCAGAGTTTCTGGGGGGAAGATATGGGGAAAACAATTAGACATGTTGTTATTGGCTGTCCAGGAGCACGGGTCACTGCAGCCTTCCGAAAGATAAAGAGTGTTCGTTCATCTTTCCTGACGTCCCTGGGTTTGAGTCTGACCAGAACATTTTAGCCTGGACTGGTTTTTGTGCCGCATTTCACTTGAGAAGATCAATTACCTTTATAAATATACATACACTGATGCTTTTATCCTGTAAGTTCATTTGAAGGAGGAAAACCACAACAAATAACAGATATTCCAGCAAGATGATGTAAAATTCCACACAGTTAATGACGTGAAATTCAGGCACCATTTAAAACCATTGAGATTATATGGGGGAATGTTGGGAAATGTGCGGAGAAGAAAAATCCAGCAATGAAGAATGTGTGTTCAGCAGTTCCTTTAAAACTTTAGGAGAGTATGACAAAGCAGTATGAGGTTGGCTTCAAGACCAGAAGAAGTACAAAATGCTGAGAAACACTACACTGTCAAAAACAATGGTGCAAAATAGAAATGTGCATTAACAATTAATAGTGTTTATCAGCATTTTGTATATTCTTTAGTGATCTGTTTTCTTCCTTTAAGTGAACAGACAGGATCAACAGATCAAAAACAGCTGCTAAACATAAGTTTATGATGTCAGCAATGCCTTTGGTCTGCTTGTGGGTGTAAAATACAGTTTTATGGGAGGATAGGTACTGTTTTGGTACACAAAACCTACTAAAACATTTGAATAAGTGAAATATTTTCTACCTCATCAGGATCATGTTATTAATAAAACTGTAACAGAATGACTAAAATGTGGCCAACTGCAACAGCACATCCAAATAAAGTGACCAGGTATTTCACCCAAATCCAAGTTGGCTGTGCAAGTTGTTATACTGTCCACCAGAAGGCAGTTGTACCTTGGCTTCTTTGCTGGGCTGCTTGAGGATGGTAGTTGTGTTCAGAGCCTGCTGGGGGCGCTCTTGTGGCTTCATGCTGTTGGACCCCGGACCCGCTCAGAAAGCTAGGCTGCAAAGACTGCTCATGAAGTGTTTCTGCTGTGATTAAAATATTTCACAATTGTTTGCTGATCGTTTTCAGCAGCGCCACATAATTAGATTAGGTAACTGAACACAAGAGGCTCAATCAAAAACATCCCTTTCAATAAAACCTGCACTGCAACAGTGTTCAGTTGCTGCTGACATGAATCTGAGGCAACTTTGAGAAAACAGCTTGAAAACATGTCTCTCAAACATCTGGAGGCAAAATTTAAAATAAATGATCTGTATTGCTTTGATGAGAGGTGCGCATATTCAGGCACAATAATATTCCAGCTTGTTATAAACAGATATGGCTATATAAAAACAAAAACAAGAAAATATCACAATATATTAAACATTTTTTCCCCCAGTAACTGAATATTTAATATGCTTTGGCATTACTTACAAAATCCCAAAACGCTGTTTATTTAAAGCTTCACACATTCACTAACTCTCTCTCTCTCTCTCTCTCTCCCTCGAACACAAAAGAAAGAATAATCTACTCAAAGCATGTATCAGAACGAATGCAGACATATGTACAAAACAAGAATAAAGTGTGGCGGTTTCACTCAGATAAAGTATAAACTGTCCACCGTTCATCACATGAATCTCTCACAGGCAAGAGATTCATTAGCCTGACTGGAGTTCATTTTAGTCCATTGCAAATTGACTATAACCACAGATCTAAGATCTTGTCTACCACCTCTAAAGCCACACCAAAGGCAAGTGGAGAAGAATGTGGGCCGTTGGCAAAGGTTTGATTATACAGCAGTTCACGTGGAAAAGCAATCAGCCGGTGCTGCTTGTCCTTTTTGTGGTCGGACTTCTCTTGGACGCACGCCTTGTGTCACCTTGTGGGTGTTAGTGCGGCTGTCGAGAAGGCACCGCTGGCGGCTGTCTCCTGAAACGCACACACACACAGTCACTGAGTACTCTGTTTTTTTTACGACTGCCTCACAACTCCGCCAAATCCTTTCAACAAAATTACAATGACTTAACTGCTTCAGTGTTTACATATGTTTGTGATATAAACGGTATGCCAGATGCTGCACTTTTAGAAACTGTGCTACGATTAAGAGACTGAAAATCCACAGTGTTACATTTTAGCACTGCAGGATTTGCCTCCTTAAGAGATATTTCCAGATGGTGGCTTCTGGTTAGCAAGCCAAAACTTAGTAACTAATGACAGTCCTTCCTTCTGCGCTTGTGTCTTGAAGAAAGGTGTGGAAAAAGATTGTCATAATAATATTGTTACCCTCAATAATCACTCCATCAGGACTACGAGGACAAATTCGCATGAACTGCCACAAGTTGCCTAATGCAGTGTTGTGGTCTGTCAGGGAGTGTAACTAAAGGACGGTATCTGTGTGTGTGTGTGTGTGTGTGTGTGTGTGTGTGTGTGTGTGTGGAGGGGGGCAGCGTTCCTGCAGCGCGGGTCCAGGAAAGATCCCTGCGGAGGTTCAGGAATCTCGCTCTCTAATGGAGCTGGCAGAGAGGGAGAAGCTTTTTGGGATGGGAACGAAGAGAGAGAGAGAGAGAAAGTGGCTTTTATTTTCCTGATCTGCGGTGAGCTCTGGACAATCGAAAGAAAAGCGAAGAAAGCAAAACAAGGTTTGATGAAACCAAGCAGATCTAACGGCCTGGAAATACCAGAGGTTTATTGTAGGAGAGAGATATAATGCAGGGGTTATTTAATCTAATTTACTGTATTCACAGGATGACTGAAAGAAAAATAGGAATGAAGTGAGTGTGAAAGCTGGTGAGTGAGCTCTGCTCACTTTTAGCAGATCTAATCCCACATGTATAAATGGATGGCAAAGAAAGAGTACTGATCTGAGATCAGCTCAGTCAAGCGTAAACATCAAGATATACAGTGGAAAAGTCAGAGACTAGCCTTTCATTTATTTATTTTCCAGTCAAAACAGCCATTAAGTGCAAGTTATTCATTTTTCAGAAAACCCATATTTGACAGAAAGTTACACAGAGGCCTCAAGAATTAAATATAATATCAAATCTGTTCAGTACTAGTGTGTCCTCCTTTTGCCTGTGTTATTGCTTCCATTCTTTTTCTGACAATCCAAGCAATATCAATTATAAATTTAGAAAGTCTATAAAACATTATTCTACATCTCAGCTGTCCAGTTTCAGTGTTCTAATGCATTTTTTCCCCTTTTTTGTCTATTTCCTATTCTCAGGAATGGCTTCTTGTCAGCTACACATCCTTTTAGACCTATAGCGCTGAACTGCCTCCTCACAGAGGAAAGATGGACAGAAACATCTGTGGATTTTTACAGATCTGATGCAAGAGCGGAGCTTGATTTCTCGAAAATAAAACTATAAAGTATGGTTTATCTGATGGTAACAGTTTTGGTTGTCTACCAGGTCTTGCACAATAGTTATGAGTCCTATAGATAGATTTCCTATTATATTTAGTGTTGGAAGCTTTGTGTGATTTTCTGTGAAATATGTTTCACTCTTTTTTCCGACACTGAAAAATAACATATACCAGTCATTTAAACTACAAACTAAATGAACAAAAAGCGTGGTCTCTGACTTTTGCACAGTACTGAACATATTAAAAAGAGATCAGTGCTTTTGCATACAGACTATGGTCAGAGTGCTGAGGTTGGATCAGTTCTTTGTCAAGGTACGCAGTAAACAGCGCTGCACAATTAACTCTTACAGAGTTAAACTGAACTCTAGGCACAGCTTTAATTAATTTAACAAAGCTGATTTTACTGTGAAAGCATGGACAATGTGAAGGGAGAGTTTTCAACTACTCTCTTACTTTCAAAGACACGTCAAGAATATAGGCTGCATTTTTTGGATAGCAATGAAACAATCAATGAAAATGCTTAACCATTTTTTGCATTCAGAGATGCATATTACATGGTGATAAACCTAGAGAGGACACACTAACTGTGTGTAAGGTATTAATCCCTTAAATGGTCCACACCCACCAGCAAGTCCAACAGTTTTATAACCTGGTTGCACTGCAGTCCATACAGTTACTGAATAATGAGCCTCAGAACTAAGACTGAGATTTCTAAGGGTTTAAAGAAACTGTGGAAAGAATTAAGAAGCAAAATACCTATGATACGTGTGAAGATGGGAGCTAAAAGGCATGGTGGAAAGAGGGAATGTGAAAAGGGGAGGGAAAAAACATGGAGAAGTGGAAGAGAAAAAGGCAGGGGGGTTTGGATGAGAGAGAAAAAGCAGGAGAAAAAGGGTGGAGGTCCAAACCGACCCATTTCAGAACACAGAGGAAATGAGGCAGAAAGGAAACGAAAGGAGAGCCAAAGTGAAGGAGGGAGCAAGAAAAGGAGAGATAAAGTGAAAAGGGCATATCATGGCAGGGAAAAACTGGAGTGTGTGGTGAAGGAAACGTACAAATGGAGAGGCAGCTGGGTGGTGAAGAGGAGAGATATGGAAAGAGAGCAGATGACATGGCTGACAAATGTGATTCCAGTCCTCCAGTGTGGAAGGCGGTTAAAACAGAACGAGCTGGTTCAGTGGAGTTATTGTCACACGCCTCCTCTGCTCTAATTCACAAATCACGGCGCTCTTCTGATACATCAGCTTTCTGCTAATCACAAAACATATCTAAAACCCACATAAAACAATCAAATAACTGTACGAAACATGAGAAGTGTTTATTTACTGCCTTTGCTGACTAGGCTCCGGCATTCAACGAACAAGGGGGAGAAAGAGAGAGATGGGGGTGGAGACAGTCTGTACTGAATGTTGGGGAAAAGAATATGAAAAACACATTTTCCAGTAGACCCCCACCCAGCTCAAGTAACCTCTGCTCTCACTGAGACGGCATCTTAATTCGAGTCTGTGTGTGTGCATGTGTACGTGCACACGCTTTCTTTTTCTTAGATTTATGGCTATACATGATTTATGGTCATAAAATTAGATTATTATGTCTGCTATTACAAATATTGTAAAAATAAACAAGCTAGTTGAAGCATTAGGAGTATTGGGCATATATTTCCCATATATTTCAGCCTCATGTCACAGATTACTCTTTTGAGGAGAACAGTTAAGGTGGATCAATGAAACAGGTTGTTGCATTCCGCTTCAAAGGTGCAGAGAGACCGAAACACCACGACTTTTATCTGAACATTTGGGAAGGAAAACAGTGCTTACCTAAATCTGCCATCTAAATCATATTCTTAACATGGGAAAACCACTGAGCGCCATCGTAACCCTCTGATTTGTTTTGAATACACATATGAATGTGAACATAATGATATGGTATATTATTCCCCAAGTATAGCAGTGGTTGTAAGCTTCATGCATTCAGAGATCTCATGCATGCATACACAGTATAGGGAGTAAAGAGTAAAAGTCAGTAGCTTATACCCTATAGAATGTATTATATGTCAAACGGGGCAATTTGGGATTCCGCCAGTGTTTAGTCATAGGGGCCCTAACCGTTTACATACTGAGTCTATTTCAGCTCAAGCCCACCTGATTCCACTTGTGCTCAAACCATCAGGCCTTGATTAGTTTATTCAGGTGTACTGTGAAGGGATGGAGTGAATGTGTAGATGACTGAAGCTGTTTCTCAAAAGGCAAACATGAGTTACTCGTGATGGCTGATGGATACAATTCCAGTTTGGAGCATAGAGCATGTGGAACACTGAAAGTGGGAAGTTCCTGGATACATGCTTAGTCTAGACATAGTTAAGCAAGCAGGAAGTAGAACCCATGGTCCAGTCCACACAGCCACGCAACTTTTGACTTTTGAAAACTTTTGACTATTCCTAATCAAGTAGGTTTTTGGAGTAGTTCAACCAGCTAAGGTACTGCTGAGAGGAGAGTTGAGTCCCAGTTAAATTTATTGTGTATGGTGGGCACACTGGAATACTAAAGTTTATCTCTGCTCTCTCAGAGTAAATTCAAAGTTAGTATCTTTATCTGCATTTGTATTTAGTCCACATTGCATTTCTAAAAGGCAGCAGCTACTATTTTACATTTTTAGGAAAATAATATTAGAATACTCAAAAAAAAAACCCATACAAACAGTATAAATGCCTGTTTACTGACCATTTAAAACACTGAGGCTCCTGCTAAAGCCTGAGTAGACTGATAAATCAATGTGATAAGCCAGTGTTAAGCTAATATGAACAGTCTCCTTAGTAGTGGACCAGTTCACAAGTGAAAAGCTTAGCATGAGTGCTGTATTGGTTTTGCTGCATTATTTTACATCTATAAACAGAAATTAATTGAAAATCGCTTCAATGCCCACTTTACAGTCAAATTTGCAAGATTATGATCTGTATGCTTAATGAGACAGGTGGTGCTCGGGGGGACTGTAAGAGCAGCAGTGGACTGAAGTGAACAGTGATGAGAGCAAAAAAAAAATGTAGAATTTTAGAACTTCACTCACAAGATAAAACATTAACAGAGAATTACACAAAACAATTAAAAACAGCAAAGAACCCCATGAATCAAGTAAAAATGAATAGTTTTTCAATGTGCCTCATAAGGATGTAGTCTGAATGTATTCTAAATGTATTCTGAATCTGTTTTTTATGTATTGCAACAAAATACATTACTGAATACATTTAGGACCGTGTATTCAGTATTCAGCTATGACCACTTTTTCTAAATTTTTTGCCCAACTCTATATATGAGTTTCTGAATTTGAGCCTTGTTGTATAAGCCACTGTGGCTTGGAGTTTATAAGTATTAGAGCAGGTGAACCCAACTCACAGTTTGGTGATTTCCCTGTTCAAACAGACCTGATTCAACTCATCAGTTAATTACGACATTAAGCAGGTAGCCTCAAACCCTTACCTTGTGTCCTTGCATGATTGTATGATTTACCTTTTTTTATATTTTGTCTACTTTTGTAAATAAAAAAACCTACTTCATTTATTAACTGAGCATTACAAAAGGAAAAGCACTGTAAATGTATCCCTTTGTATGTGAACTCAGATAACCCAGCATTCCCCAGCCCTACATATTAATAACTAGGGAACCTCGGGTTTTCGCTCAAGTTTAGACCTGATGCAGAAGGTAGATGGATTCTCTGTGGGCTTGGTAATTCACTACCTGGGAATGCTAGGGGCGACTCTGTTGGGGCGTCCCGGTGCATGAGAGGAGTCTGTGTGGTTAGGTACTGCAGCTACTGAAGGACTAGAACGAGTGGCTAGCGGAGGAGCAGGAGGAGCAGGACCACGAGCAGGACCTCCAGGAGCAGATGGGGTCTTCCTAGGAGCACCATGACCCGGAGGAGATCTGAAACAGAAAAAGGAGAGGAGAGATGATGAATGTAGATAATAGAGCAAAAAATATGTCCAGCAAGGATGCACCAATATAGAATTTCTGGGCTGATATAATAACCACCTTATTGTGGCCAATAACTATGCCAATATGGTGATAATCTGACCTTTTTGGCATTTTAGAATGAGAACGTTCACACTGTAATTCATATAAGAGGTGCAGGTAAAAACTCTAAAGACAGATCACTGGATAAGGGTTAATTTTACACAACATGAAACAGCTAAATCAGTTAATGTTTCCAGAGAATAAACAATGTACATTATTGTACATAAATCTTTTACATTATTTACCAGACACACTTATTGGTAGCCACTCTCCAAGAACTTTTATTGTGGCATTCTCTTCTTGGCACAGCAATACAGTGTTGCCTGGAAGGAGATTTTATCTACTATGCTAGCTTTTCGAACAAGTTTACAAAATGGAAAATTTCCACCACTAGTGATTAACATTCATCAGTGCATATGCAAACCAAAAATAGGATGCTAAACTATTAGCAGTACACATCAGCTATAATTTCAGTATTGGGCCAGTAACAATCACATTTTCCCATTTAGGGACAATTTATTTTGAAACTAACACCTGAAGAAGAATTCCAACTGGTGTATCACCCACTACCATTGCCATCCCACGAAATACTGGCGTTACAGTTCCATCTTCATGCACGTGTCACTCAGTCTCCTCATCACCCATTCCAATACTTAGTTTAAGTGCGAGTATCAGAGCTAATACCAATAACTTCAGTTCTCAACCCTGAGAGCAGGAAAAACACTACAACGTGCTTTAGGATAGGGAGCTACTGTCTTAAACCAGCAACATCCTGCACATAACTGACCCCTTCAATTTTACTGAACTTTTACCAACCTTTCTCTGAACTTCAGCCCACATTTCACAGTGTGTCATCCACACCATTATTTTGTGCTGGAACCCCTACTCCTACCAGATTACTCTAAAATTTCACAATTTACATCAATCCACAGTCACTGTACTGGGTCATACGTGGCCTACCTGCGGTTGATGGTGCTGGCATGCAGCCAGGAGTTGTCCACAGGCGGTGGTAGAGGGGTGGAGATGGTGGAGGTGGAGATGTCAGTGATGATATTCAGTGCCTCCTTCAGGGCCGAATGTGTGCGCAGCACCTCCTCCCTTCGCAGAGCCTGTTCTGGAGACTCATCCATCAGAGCTGACTGATCTCCTGTAGAGTACAGCTGAGCCAGCAGCTCAGAGTGGATAAACTCCTTCACCTGCGGAAAGAGGGAGGAGAGGACAGGAGAGAGAATGAGAAGACGTCAGTGAGAGAATGCAAAAAGAGAGGGAAAAGAAATAAGGAATGAGTGAAGGTGGTTGTGATAAATGCATGAAAACAGTAGTATTTATGAATGAGGAAGTTTAAACACCTGACAATTCAATTAAGTATTTAGACCTTAGATATTTACAAGGATTAGGTTGTGATTTATTCAAACCCAAGGTATTAATTGAGATGATAATAGGCTAAACATATACAAAAATCATAATTTATAGGCTACGTTCAATTTTTTGTGTGTAATGTTGTTTTGACTATTTTCCACATTTTAGAGTAATAGTGACGACATCAGAACTATGAAATAACACACACAGAATTATATAGGCACCAAAAAGGTACCTGTATCCAACTACCTTCCAAAATGTTTTCCATTTAGGATTCGATCAGAAATTATACAACAGTTAGTTCCGGCCACGCAAGCTGATTGGCTGAGAAGCGTTATTTCACCATAACATCACAGGTTTTTCACCTAACACTGTATCACTCTGCTAAGATGCCGTTGCTAAGCAACGAGTTTGAGAGCTGTAGGAGACACTCAAGCCTTTTGAACGCATTTACTTCTTACTTTGCGCAAAAACTTTTAAGGTCACATTTGACCGACAGCCAATTTGGTCAGACTCTGAAGATGAGACTACACTAAATTCCCAAACTGTCATCACCACTGAGCAGCTTTTCAGTCGGCAGCTGGGGCAGAAGAACACCTAAACAACCTGGAATTAGCCACAAATGAACTGAATACCATTCGCCAAACGTTTAGTCTCATCTTCAGAGTCTGACCAAATTGGACTGAGCCAAAAAATTGCAGCAATAAAAAACAAAAAAGCTGCTCAGTGGTGATGACAGTTTGGGAATTTAGTGTAAGGAGCTGGAGAATGAGCTGCCGGCTGTGCAGCGAGTGAGCGGAGCTCGTTACTCTGACGTAGCACCAAACTGCTTGTTAAGGAACTATATTTTGGCGGAAGGAATTGCTAACTGCTAAAACATATTAAATTCCACGTTCACGGCCCAGTTTATTTATTGCTTACTTTATTTATTTAACTGCTGTATAAAAGCAATAGAACACACGAGGTCGCCACGGCTCGTGACCAAATTTTTGTTTTAGAAATATTTTGTACATATGCATCAATACACCCTTTTTATTTGTTAAAAAACAAATTCCATTTGCATTTGAGCATAAGTCAAAATATAAAATATCAAAATTCAGTTATGTGTGTCAAAACTTCTGATAGAGTTTGTCACTGACATGTTTTTAGTATACTTTCAAGGCATAGCTTGTTACAATTAATGCCTTATACCATTTTCATATGCATATGTTGCGTCATTTTCAAAATTTTAATATAATAAAAAAAAGTTGGTAAAGTTTACATTCCACCTTTTGGAATCATCTTAACAATCTGCATGCTGTAGAAGATTTTTCAACTTTTCTCATCTGCCTTGCTGTTCAGTACTCAATGTGTTGCATGAAAGACGTGTGTGAACAGTATGTCCAATAAAACAATAAATAGAACAATGTCTTAATATATACATAGACTCAGTAGCCGCATAGTCCGAATGTAAGTTTCTAGAAACATCTACATTTTTAATTTTAGCTCATTTCTAAAAATACATGCGTAAATACATAAATAAAGAAATAAGTAAACGCAATTAGCTGACTGAAAGAATCTTACTTGACAAGAATTTGACAAGTAATCAGTAAACTAGTCGTCTTCAAACGATGGCTCTACATTACAGCCACTTCAACAGTCTTTTGGTTCCCAACCCTGGTCCTGGAGAAGCCCTGCTTTGCATATTTCAGTGTCTTCTAAGTCCCCGACTCACTGAAGCATCTTAGTGTAAAGATCATCTCATCTGGTAGAGAGAGTGTTCAGTTTTCAGCTCGCTCTACCATATAAGAATCATCTCTGTGCTAACATGCTTTTGGGAAATCCAGCCCAGTTCATGAACAAATCAACTTTGGTCCACCAAAAATCATGGGTCTCCATCTGCTTCCAAGTGAATGAAAACACATTTTTACATTTTTATGAGGTAATTCGACGTCAGAGCCTCCCTTCTTCTTCTAGAAGCACATCATTGCTGTACTGACTGCACATCTGCCTGTTTTAACATTTTACAGATGGTCATATTGTTCTTACAACACAATCTGGTGCTAATAATGCCAGATAATCATTAAAATAACAGCAAAGCAATGCATTTGATTTTGGTACATACACCGCAGAACACACTTTTTGATGGGTGGGGGCGGGCATTAGCAACCGGACTGTTTAATTCAAATTGATTGACTGGATTAAATTTGAAATTGGAATGAATTAAACAGATCAATTATAAACCAGCAGAGATCAGGTATGTGTCATGTTTCTTGCTTTGGTAATATATCAAGAACACACATGAATGAGAGATCTGGACTTTATACAATGATAGGCTAGTGGGGTAAACGATTTATAAAATGTTAGGATAGTAAGTTAAAAAAGGTGGGTTTTTTTGGCACCAAAGGAGGCAGACGTGAAAGGTACTCAGTGTGTGCTTGTCTTCCTGCCAAATTCCTGATGAAAAACAAGCATTAACATCTATAATTTAGTGTACTTTAGCCACTGTAATGTAAAAACCAACAGAATCAAATGAAAAAGATACAATCACAAAAAATCCAGATTCTGATGTGGGCTCTGAAAAGCAAACTAGGTGAGAAAGCAGCCGAAACTGTGCAGGGCAGAGCTACTCAGGAACAAGCGTTGGGAACCACTAGCCTAATGTGTCAGAGAGCTTGAAAGGTAGACTGGCAGGGGAAAGGTACAAGCAAACTGACATTGTTGATCATCAGGTGCATGATGGTTTTGGGCATCAGGTCTCGGATGCTCTTGTAGACGATGCTCATGTAGGAGTCCACCAGGTTGCGGATGGTCTCCACCTGCCTCTCCAGTTGAGGGTCCATGGAGAAGTTCTCTGTCTGCCCTGAGTTCTCGCCATCCACCTGACGAAAGAGAGGAACGAGGGAGAGAAAGGGAAGGTGTTGAGGGGAGGTAGATGAATGTAGAGGTGGAAAGAATGGAGAAGTAGTGAAGGTTACAAGAGATGTTGAGAGGAAAGAGAGAGAGTGATGGGGAAAGAGGAAGCAGAACACGGGACAGTAGCAGAATGACAGTTTGAGAGTATAAGAGACACAGACAGCAGAAAAGAAAGAAAGAGAAACAGAGAGAGAACTTTGTTTCAACATCACATGATGGGGGTGTGGTAGACTTGTGTCAAAACAAATTATGGGGAACCCTGACAGAACTCTGACATCACTCAGCAAGTTCCACCAAGTCAGAGAAGGAGGGGAAAAGAGGATGAGGGAACAAATGAGAGAGCAAGAAGAAGAAACAGAGAGAGAGAGAGAGAGAGAGAGAAAGAGAGAAAGAGGAAAGTAAAAGGAGAGGGGGCTGATTAGAAACAGAGATTGGCGCCCCTCCCTCTCTGCTCCTCAACACAGTGACACAAGAGCTGAGGAATGCAGGCGGCCTGCTGATGGTGGAACAGCCGGGAAAGAGCTCGCAGCCTAAAGGCCAAGCAGCCGACCAGGGGACACTAACTCAGAGAGAGCAGATATTTCTGAGGAGTTTAGACTCAAAATAATTCCCTTGTATAAGGAAGAGAAAAGTGAAAGGAATGTAATTTTTCCAAACCTTATTTAAAGGTATTTAAAAATGGGAGAAACAACTGTGTAAGACCAGCCACACCACCAAAACTGTCATCATATAAACAGCTCTTAAAGCTTTCATCTCGAAGACAGAGACTCCACTGTTGCTTCAGATCTGAAAAAAACACAGGTGTTTCTGTCCATCCATTCACTGTGAAAAGACAACTAACACTGTGGGTCTGAAGGGATTGGCAGCTGACAAGAAGCTGTAACTGAGAAAAGGAAATACAAAAAAAGAACAAAATGTTTAATCAAACAATTAAACAATGAAGCTGCTGGTGTTCTCAGAACAACATACTGACCATCCCAGGGCCCAGATCTCAGCATCAGTCATTTTCTGCTACTCACAATCCAAGTGATGCCAGACACATTAAACTTTGGAGGTGTGGAAAAATATCCCTACAGGTTTCTTTGAAAAACTGAAAACAAGTCCTAGAAAGCTGTAACAAACACAAATAATGGACACACAAAATACTAAAAAAATATGTACATAGCAGATTACACAGTGTAAAAAGTGTTGATTTTTGAGAATTAACATTTTAGTGTTGATGACAGTTTATTCTGGAGTTGTATTTACACCAAGCTAGTTGATAAAACTCAGAGTCTGGTGTTACAGGGGATTGTAAGCACACAGCAAATTTGCCACAGTGTTAAATCTGTGCTGTGAGTGTTAAATTTAACACTTTCTCACTGTGTATAGAGGTCCACACCAATGTGTTGGTTTTTCTCACTACTTTAAGTGTTGAATTTTGGACCCATAAAGTATTGTAAAATACTGATTCTTCATTAGGTGTAACTTTAACTCAAATTGGCATGGACCTATATACACACTGAGAAAGTGTTACATAATTCTACACTCACAGGGTAGAATTAGCACTGTCAAATGTGCGTAGTTTTCTGTTAAATACATGTTTGGTATGTTTTATTTCCCCTGACATGAGTGGTCATTTTGACTGGAATTAAATGAACGAAGTGCGGTCTCTGACTTTTGCACAGTACTGCACACACACACACACACACACACACACACACACACACACACACACACGCACACACCTTGAAAAAGAATTCGGAGACAAAACACTCTATGAAACACTCGATGAAACTCTATGATAAGTCTAAAACTGGAACCCAACTTTTACTGCTACCTGTAAAATCAAAGAGCAGGAAAACAGGTATGTAAATGTCTACTGCAGTTATAGAACATAATAACTGTGTACTAAAAACTAGACAAAAGAATAACACAATAGGCTTTAAAGAGTTCTTCTGTCTTTATGGGAACTGCCTATGACAATTTGATATCTAAGCTAGTCAGCTCCAGCGGCAGAATGGCAGCTACAAACAGATGGTTCAAATATAAGTGCTGGTCCAAAATTCTGTGCCTTTCTCAGAACACTTTTGGTTAAATGTAAGCATAGAAGATACTGCAAAAGGTAAGAAAAACTGTAAAAAGTGGTTTATATACACTATATAAGCATATCGTCACAGCTAGAACAAATACTCATATCTGCATTTTTGTTTTTGAGGTTATGTACAAACAGTGACAACATATATAATGTGCCTGGAGTAAAACAGTACAAAGTCCTTCAGATGGGTAGGTTATGTGAATGTTGTTTTTTCAGATTAATCTCCAACATAGTATACAACATAGAGTACAGAGGCTCTGATGCCGCTGTTTCAGATTAAAAGACATCTCTGTCCTGTACTGGTTTATACTGCATACTGCTGTCAATACTATTCTTATTCTTATTCTTATTCTTCTTCTTATTATTATTATTATTAAAATAATAACATAGAAGCAATAGCAGCAGCTAAAAAGTATTCTTCAATGTGAAAATACTACAACACTATACTATACTATATACTATACACTATACTAGTAGCTTTTTTAGTATGGAAGCTGTTTTTAGTCGTTATCTCCTGCAGCCTCTCTTTATGTTTGAAGAGGAAAAAGCACTCACTCTCAATTCTATTCTGCACCTTGTATTTGGTGTCTAAATAATATTTCACTATTGTTTGCTATAACAAAGATGACGCACCATTCTAGGTTTTGTTGTACATTAAGTTTACTCCACACCCATTGGATGGATTTTATGATCTTCGTTCTTCTTTGTCGTGCGTATCAGCTTCCTGGTCCACCAGGCTTAGAACGATTGTCAGAATGCTGTCCAGGGTTAACAAATGTACAGTGTTCTTTTAGGAATTATATTTTTTCATTGAGCAAAGTGACAGATTTGACTGTTCATTCGTTTGGTAAAAGTATATCTGCAAAACATTCGTGCTGCTCAACAGCATAAATGTGTATGTGTGAATGACCAGCGCATGCGAGCTGTAGCAGTCTGAAACTGACCCAAATGTGTCCAAACAAAAATGTCTGACACAGGGTGTAAAAACACAACATATTTTTTAAAATAGTAGTAGTTGTTAAGTAAGCAGTCTAAACAAAGACATTCCGCACAGCTGCATCATTTCTACCTGCACTGCACTTCAGGGGAAACTGCAAATCTGGCAACCCTGAGTGACTGGGAAAAATCTGTTTTGAGCGATACAAAAGAGTTGAAATGGAAAGCCTCGCAAAGTAAAAATATGTGTGAACACTGTGCAGCGTGACTGGTTAAATGATGCTTCATGCAAGTGGTACACACCCAACAATACACTCGCTTGTATTTTGAGGTGTTCATGCTTATGTTTAGTTTGACTCTGGGGCAGCGCTGTTTGTGGGTCACTGTGTTCAGGTTTATCCACGGTATGGGAAAATTCATATCATGAGAGAACGTGATACCGGTATTCACTTTTGTATCAGTATACCGCCCACCCCTAAGGTATGGCATGTAAATGTATCACTATTGGCTAGACTATTACCATTCAAACTGTGATCCTCTAACAAGGCTATTTTAACCCATAATGCTCTATTTACATCACTATCATTGTGATGACATAAACAAACATTATCCACAACTTTTGGCAAAAAAGGCACATTTGTTTTAGAAAGGCTGTTAGCAATGTGGAGCCATTTTAATGTGGAAAATGAAAACAGCCCAACAGCCAGTTATAATATCTCCAATGCCAGTGGTTCTGAAAAAATAACATATCAGTTCAGAGTGAATCACACTATGCACACACTAAAATCAAGTGACTTTACTAAACCTTTCCAAAGTAATTGGCAGCTTAGTATATTTTACCTAAATTGAATTGGTTTTGGGCTTAATAACTAATAACTAATGTGCACTGTGAGGCTGTACAACACAAAGACTAAGACTCGGTATCAGAGACTGGGAGCAAAAGAAAAACTTCACCAGGACTTCCCTAGTGTAGGGTGGGGAGATGGATTCTTACTGTAGTTTTCTCAGGGTAGACTCCAGCCCGCAGCAGAGAGGCCTTCCAGCTGTCCACCTCCTCCTGTGTGTCACACGCCAGCTCCAGATGCCTGTAGTCTTTATACACGTTCCTATAGCAACAATAAGCACGCAGTCAGACTGTGGTCATGGCAACACATGCACTTATACACAAACAGGACAAACTGGAACACGATCACAAAGCCACATGTCCATCAGCGACTCAAACGCCACCTAGTAGGTCATCCAGTACACCTGCCTCCCTTCTGTACCTATTAAGCCAGCTCTCATCCACCCTCGACTACCCATCCTGTATTCGTTTAGTTAACATCTAAAAGCTGCCACCATCCCCTAGGACCTCTATAAACTCTGACAAGGCTCAAATTTCACTTTTCTCCTCTTTTTTTTCTAGGGCTGCATCAAGGTTTTATTTTAAATAAACACGCTTTTACCAGTGCACCTACATTGGCAGATGACTGTAGTGGTGGGCAATATGGCAAAAATTTAATACCATGATACATCAAGAAACACAAGACACAAGATATGCCACATTATTTTTTCTGATGTCTGACATAAATTGGAACAGACAACGAAGGTTAAAAAAACGCTTTTTAAAAAAGTATTTTTTTTTTTATACAGTCAAAAACTATGAGTATGACATTTATTCAAAACCGTGCATACTGTGCTGCACTAGATACAATAAACCAGAACTAATCATGCTGACCCTGTAAAGTAACATGCAGTCGGTCACTGTTTTAGAAGTACTTATGATATCCATTATATGCTCAGAAAAGCATACACTTTGGCAAAATTTATTGCAATAATTATAAACATCATCATACTGCTCACTCACACTCCGCTATACCAGTCCTTGGACAGCAGTGTATGAGTGTATATACTCTTATTGGGATAGCAGTGGCATTTCTGCCTGGAGGGAATCAAACCTCCAATCTTCCGAGTTTAGGAGAGTGGTTATCCTATCGACTCCATTACAGTGAGTTGAAAAGAATGGTAATTCTCAGCACTGGTGACTGCATGTGCATCATTTGGTCTGCATGTGCATGAAATTGAAGCCTGAACCTGACCCGTACCCACGACTTTGAGACCCAACCCAACAAGGTACTGCTAAATTTGAAATTTGAACTTGACCCAAACCCGCCCGCACTACTGCAGAATGTCTCAGATATATTACCGGCATTCCTTTACCACTGATGTTCTGGCTTTGCTTCATTCACATTTGCAGCCTTTAAAAGGAATTTTACCAGCACTGTTAAACAGGACGTGATGTCTGTGATGGATGCTACCTGCCTTTTTGTTTCTGAATCATTACAAAAATACACTCTTGCAACATTTTACACTCACAAACACTAAAAACGGTAAAACCAAAATCCTCAGCAGAGATTTTGCATCACTTTTGTGCAGTAATTGCCACCCATGCTAGAAGCAACAGTATTTTGCCACTTAACTTGAACGGTAGGTCACCAGAATCATAAACAACAAAGCTTATAGAGTAGATTAGGGATGGACGATATGGCCGAAAGTCATATCATGATACTTAAAGACATTGTATGTATGTATCACGACATTTTGACACACAGATACAATATTAGTGCTGCAATAAATCCATTTAAATAGAACTAATTATGTTCTCTTTTTAAAGAAACACACAGTTGGTCAGTGATCGTTAAGTAACGATATATTCACGATTTGCTCAGAAAAGCATATTCTTGGGAGCTCTCGAGTGGCGCAACTATCTAAGCATTGGCCCTCCCATCAGGAGAGTTCGATCCCTGGTGATGCTACAGCCATCTGTGGCCAGGAGTCCAGGAGAGCACAATTGGCCTCGCTCTCTGCGTGGACAGAATGGCTCCCCCGCTTCTCCCCCCATCACTCCAACGCGATGCAAGCCAGCGCAAGTGTCTGTTAGCTGACGTAACAGAACTGCCGGCTGGCGCTTTCCTCCGAGCCCCTTGGCTGTCCAATGACGTTGCGTGAACGGCAGTTTGAAAAGATGAGGTGGTGCTTCACAGGTCTTGGAGGAAGCCTGTGCTAGTCTTCGCCCTCCTAGTGGTGGTAGCATCCTGTGACTGGGAGAGTCCTAACTAGCGGGTGGAATTGGAGACGACTAAATTGGGGACAAAATTGGGGAAAAATCCAAAAGGAAAAAAAAGCACAGTCTTTATTACTGTAATGACAAAATATTGTCATATTGCCTACCTCTATAGATATATTAACAGAGCTTTGCAGAGAGAGAGAGAGAGAGAGAGAGAGAGAATGCAAAATAAAAGGTAAATGAGTGCCCAACGTTTATGTAGACATAAACATATGATACACATAAAAATTCACTAGGAAACAAATCAGAGCCTGACATGAACCTGATGTTGTACGTAAAAAAAAATCTTCTTGAAACCTGATTTTTTCTTGGGCTCCATCAAGCTTGAGTTGGATAGCCAATATCAGACCAATAATAATTACATTTTCCCATGTATTGGCAAATAACATACTGGCTGCTGATATATCGTGCAACTCTACTTGTTCCCTCCTTCACCCCATCTCACTCCTCACTCAAAGTCTTTCTGTTTCTCTGGTTTAGGTCTGAGAAGGAGAGGCAGGAATCTGGAGTCCAGCTCCCTCCATCTGTTCCACATTCCCCCTAATGACTGTGTTGTTCCTCTCCTCTTTTTGTCCTCTCCTCTCTTTCTCCCCCTCTGTTTCTTTGTTTGGCTTTGTTTTGCCCATGGGGCATGAGACTGTAGGGCTGCTCCATGCTCTGCTTCGTTCTGGAGCTCATACCAACGTCGTAAAGTAAACAGGACTTGAGCTAACAGCAAGAACACACACCTCGCTACAGCAAGAACACACCTTACACACATCTAATCCTGCACTCGCATTCACACACGTACGCAAGAGTGTAAAAACGCACACACACGCTGCCACCCATCTGCATCTGTACACACGTGTGCACACATCAATGTGCGGCCAAACACGCACACACACATTTTCGTTAAACAAAAACACCCCAACAAAACCACATACCACAAAACCACATTTCCACATACCTCAAAGTCATAAAGCTCGCCTACAAAACATTGTTTTAGCGAGCTCTGTTATGACTCAGTGGTATAAGCCTAATTAGCGATTACTTCAATCGCAGCACTCCTTTAAAGCTGCCTACACAACTTGGTTGTAACCTTTGCCATGACAAGCAATGCTACTCATCACTCAATGATGTTCTTGGCTATTTCTGCCAGTGATGATTATGCACTGCTACCTGACCTTTTGGCACACACTATGGGTCTGAGTTACCAGAACTTAAAAATACATCTTATAAATGTGTTACTATGCGCAAAAACAACAAAACAGTCCTTGATTAGCCAAGGAAAATGTTTTGCAGTGTTTCCGGAGCGCGCTGCTTTTTCTGAAGTGAAGGCTTAAACATGTGCTTTCCTGAACAGGGCAACGTGCCATCACTTTATGAAAGCCAAATGATCACTCTCTCTCTCACACACACACTCACACCCCACACACACACACACACACACACTCTTTCCTCTTTCTCACACCAGTGTCATGCAGTTGGAGGAGGAGCATCTGCACTTTTATAAAACACTTTTTTGCTTGGAAGTTTATTAATTTGTTTTCAAGTGCTATAGATGTCTAGAAGCCACTGAGAGAAAATTTGCTTTTTGCATGTTTCTATTTAGCTCTGAGTCTGTGTAAGTATGTGTGTTTCTGTGGGGACAGTGCTGAAGCTCAGCCCATCCGGATCCCTTCGCCTCTCCCTCATGCCAGAGTAATGTCAGCACCCTGGCACTGAAACTTCTGCCCTCTGACATCACCACTGGCACTGAGACGGGCAGCAGGAAACATTACAACATGTGTGTCCTTCTGTACATGAGAAAGAGAGAGCGATAGAGAGAGAGAGAAGCATGTGTGTGAGAGGGAAAGAAACAGAGCAAGAAAAAAAAAGTTGCTGGTCTTTTGCTGTTTGCTACGCTCCCCATCAAACGTTTGGGGACTTCAATTTCAGTCAACCCTTAAAACGCAATGTTCACATGGCTATCGTCTAGGCAGGGTTGAATAATAATGGAATACATGTAATGATATTACGTAATCAGGACATTGAAAAAAAGGACCCCTATATTAACCCTGTATTCTGTTATTCAGTTCTGTATTCAGTTACAGAATAAAAGCCAGATTACTGGATTACTTACAAGGTGATGACTAACAGGGTTAAATTAAAACCACTCATAGTTATTTTTTGTTGCTTGTGTTTGTGTCTACAAGCTAGTTTTATCAGCTAAATGATTCTGTCATTAGTTTTTTTTCTTTTGTGAGAGTTTATTACACCACAGAGCGAGGGGAGCGGAGAGACATGGACACAGGTGAGCTGCTGCTATGAATGGTGTGGTCTATATTCCTGTTGGAAAGTAAGACATTAAAAAGTGCTGAAAAGTCTGATAGACTAATATTGACCAAAACAGTTTGCTCAGCTAGGAAATCCATGTCATTCCCGTAAGTGCAGTTTGAAGGGCAGAACACCTTGCATGACAAAACAGGAATGTAAAGCTAAGCTACTCCAATATTTCATTTTCATTTTCCAAACTATGCAGGCCTTTCTTGAAAACTTGACTTCACCAAAATATTTCATGACATATTCAAACAGATGTAAACATAGCACAAATAAAACACAGACTATTATGCATCAGCATTATTGTTTCTGTGCATTTCGGTTTATCTTGTGCTCAGAGGTCCTACTGCTGAAATATACATATAATTATTTTAAAAAGACAAGTAATCCAAAAGTAACAGAAAGTAATCAGGTTAAGTTACTTTAATATCGTAATCCTTTGAATCAGGTTACAATTGACATTTTTAACAGATAATCAGTAATCTGTACCAGAATGCTTTTTCAAAGCATCCTACCCAGCCCTGCTTCTAGGCTTAGTAACTCAGAAACAACTTAGTTTACAGACATTGTATACATAACTTAAGATGGCAGGATTTACCGTTTCTAACCACGGCTATAACTAGTGGTGGTGGAAATAAGCGAGACTGTCTCAAACATTTAGATTTTGGAACCTCTTATGTTTAAACAGTTTAAAGGACAAGT